CTCACTAGAATAGAATAAAAACATACGATAACTTTAATGAATTTAGTTGCTGCTTCTATGGGCACACGGCATGTCATTTGAACATCATTTTTAAGCACTCCTAAACAAGCTTGCACATTGTTTCAAACATAACCAATGCTGCTTGTTTCCGCCGACTTTTAAAAATCTCTCTCTGACACTCTTGCGTATGTGTTACAGGAAAGAGGTCTTGCGATCATAACTCTGCGTAAGCTCTCTCCAATTTTTCCCCTCTTCCCCACCCCTAACCCCAAGAGAGCTTGCTCGCAGGCGACTTATGCAGTCGTACTTTAAAGCTCCCTGATAACGTGTACGTTAGTTAGACTAGACACGTGTGATCTTGTTAAATTTATTATCCGCACGGTTTCGTCTGATTAAACAAACTCCATCAGTAATTTTAACAAGACTGATCTAGGGAACTAGTTTTATCTAAACGTTGCAGTACAAATCACGTTCCAGTAAGGGCGTGAACAGCAAAACACCCGCGAGAAATGCGCGTTGGATATAACGTGAATCCCGCGTAAATTGTGTAATCTCTAAACTTGGGGCTCACTATGCAATACATCAACATTGGGACCAATTCCAGGTGGTGATTTTGAATTTGTTTTCAGAAGTATTTGCAGCAGCACCAAACCTATTTTTGCCCATCAAAACCAAAATATTAATACAGTTGAACCCCTTTATTTTGAACTTGGGTATTCCCTTTTCTCCACTATTTCGAACTGACGTTCATTACACTTGGTTTTGCTACGCTCAATTCACAATCAGTTATTCCGAATACCCCTCTTATTCAAACTAATTTTTGTCGAAGAAGAAGAGAAAGGCAAATGAAAAAAAAAAAGGGAGAAAAAAAGAGGCCATAAATTGCTAAGTACATAGTGGTAGTCATATCAATCGTATGGTCAGTGATGTTTGTGAACACTTTGATTCACATAGTAAGTACGTAACATCGGGCACAATTTTTTTTTTTTCTTTTTTTTGCACACCATCAGACACGTCAACGCAAATTTTATGCGGTATTTCTTTCCAAATGGCGGGAATTCCGCAAAGCCACGCTCCAGGATAAAGGTCGGCACACACTTGGGAATATTCGCAGGGAATGGTCGCAGGAACCAAAATCCATATGCATTCGGGGGGGCCAAAATTTGTTCTCTGCGAATGGGCCCATTAATTCAGACTTGCTTGAATTCCTGGAACCATTTGCAGGGAACGGTCACCTGAAATAGTCCTGTTCCTTCGTGTGAACTGTACGTGGAAATGTTCCCTTCAACTATTCCCTGCGAATATTCCCCTCCTGTGTGCCGACCTTAAACCCTAAACGCCTCACACACTCTTATCTGATGAATGATGTAGTGCAGTGTGTTTTGCCGGATGTCAGGTTTTTTTTTAAGCACTTGCTCTCGAATTTGATTACTTATTAGCTTTCAAGCGATGAATAGTAAAGGGGCATGGTTCCCTACACCTCTTTGCAAAATCGAATCACTTAAAAATATCTGGCCTATGATGACTGGAAATATATGAAAATCATATATGCGCACTGCGGTGAAGAGATGAGAGAGATGAGATTAAGCGATCCTCTACTGAACTAGTAGTTGAAATGAGAGCTGAAAAAAAATTCAGGCCCGTGCGGGATTTGAACCCATGATCTCTGCGACACCGATGCAGCACTCTACCAACTCAGCTAACAAGCCAACTGGGAGCTGGTCATAATGTTGGTCCAAAATTTTAACCAGCTCCCAGTTGGCTTGTTATCCAGCAAGCTGCGAGGATCGCTTATATTTCACTCTTCACCGCATTGCACATATATGATTTTCATATATTTTCAGTCATCATTCACCACTTTGAAGGTTTATTTGAATCCAGCATTATGACCAGTTCCCAGTATGACAATCAAAACGAGACAGACTAACTTGCAAGTCAGAACAGTATAAAACAAATTTCGCCATCTCGAGTATACAGTGTCAGTTGAAAAAATATATCGTTCCAGACGTTTCGAGTTTAGCCCTTCATTAGTGGAACTCAGCGAATGATGACTTGTTGAGACACTTGCTTGCTGTTTCTATCATATAGCGTCACCCTAACCAACAAATAAAAGCTAAGCGCAAGCAAAGAGGAGTGGAGCGAGAGGGAATGTTAAGTGGAGGGATGCAGGGGAGTAGGGGTCATGGGGAGACCAAGTGTGGCGAATGCACGGGTAAATTTCCAGACAGTTACTCATACCATACAATTTATTCTAAACCAGTAGTTTCTAAAACATGAATAACTAAATCACACTTCAACCAACCACCGAAAACAATAACTACGATTACAAAGCTAAACATCAAACGGCAAAAGACAACGCAAAACGTACCTGACGGTTTGGATAAAGGGACTACACGAAATGCCACAAAGAAACGATGAAAAGACAACAAACTGAATAACGATAAAGGGGTAAGTTTCTAAAGAAACTGTGGTGCTGCGTCGGTAGGAGAGTATAGCTGGTAATTTAGTGTTAACAACTGAGTTGAAAACGTAAATTAGCCAACGTAAAGGGTAAAAAAACTGACATTTCGAGCGTTAGCCCTTCGTCAGAGCGATTGGAGGAATTGTGGGTTGTGTGTGGGTTTATAAAGTGGAGCTACGCTATTGGTGGGAAAATGGTGACGAGAAAACAGGAATAAATTAGTTGAATGAAAAGCGCTCGTTGATTCCGTGGGGATTAAGGGTGCCGATTAGGAAAATAAATTTTTGTTCTAGTGTTTTACGGCTATCCGAACTGCCTAGATGTAAGGAAAGGCCGCAAACTGCCATATGCTGTTTAGAATGATTAGGAAGATTAAAGTGTCTAGCGACTGGTTTGGATGCGTCCTTGTCATTTCTTTCCACGTCGCGAAGGTGTTCTCGGAATCGTTCACCTAGTCGTCTTCCTGTTTCGCCGATGTATAACTTATTGTAATAAGTGCAAGTTATGCAGTAAATAACATTAGCGGAGGTACACGTGAAGTGATCAGTGATCTTAATGGATCTCTCTACGTTATGAATGAAAGCTAAGGACAAGTTTTGCATCGTGAGCGAGCTCATTTAAAAGTTTCAGATTGGTCATTGGTTAGAAATGAACTCCTGACTAAAAAGTTGCCTGTGTTTTTGTCACGTTGGAATGAAATAAGTGGGGGTTGCGAAAAGATAGTGCCAGACTCCGAATCGTTTTGGAGAAATTTAAAATTTTTAAGAATGATAGATTAAACTGCGTGGTTGTGAGGGTGAAATGTAAGAGTAAATGGAATACGGTCAGTGTTTTCCTTCTCAGCTGTTTGTAGTGCTGACTGTCGATCAATTTGTTGGGCATGGTGGTGGCCCGCTTGAACGACAATGGCGCAGCTCCACTTTCTGCGTATAAACCCACACACAACCCACAATTCCTCCGATCGCTCTGACGAAGGGCTAATACTGAATAACGTACTGTTCTTTTCGCGCGAGAATTTAAATATATACATACGGGCGCGGGGACTGAAGCCTAATCGGCAAATAAACTGCTGACCCTGAATTTGTTGTAACACCAAGAGGGGAGGGAGATCTAAAAACTTCCTACTGTGGCATTACATAAAAATTGCAAATGAAATCTACTCTTTATTTTGATTTTGAGAGACACTCACATTTTCTTTTTTTTTTCTTTTTTTTAAAAATTGGAAAGCGCTATAAAACTTCAATAGCTAAAAAAAATGAGAAACAGAAAACGTTCGATTACTTTGCTATTTTTCTCTTCGTACTCCACCGAAAACCGGTTCACCAGGGCCTGAATTATGGAAGAAATATTTTGAAGAAAAGTTCTTTATGGCAGGCAACATTCATGGATCAACGCAATTTTTCAAAGATTAAAACTGGAAAGTTTGGGAGTAAAGAAGAAAATAGAAATAATTTCTTGGGGACAAGTTTGGATCTACTTTTCCCTTTTCTGATGCTGAGCATTGCATCCATAGGTTCCACTTGTCTTGGGAGAGTGGGCTGAGCTCTGGATCAGCAACAGCATCCAAGAACTTAGAGTCTGCACCAAGGAACACCTGGTGGCCCAGGTTCTGACTGTCTTTAATCCATTCATTTAAGTATCCTACAATATAAATGGACAAATGATCTATAATAACATTAATTATCCTTAGAGATGTTGCAATTCCTCTTGTACCATTTCAGAGAGTTCAAGCACCACAAAAAGTTACAAGACTGAAATCAATTTTGTTGAACCATGTTATTTTTCTTGAATTGTTCAAATGATCAGCTTATGAGTATTTCATCAAATACTGTGAAATTTGTTATAATTATCCAACTTCTTGTTACAAATCTGGTCACAACCATTATCAATGATTAAATCGCCTGACTGTCAGAAGAGATAATTGGTTTAAGAAGATATATGACATTTTTTAAAAATGTTTCGACAGTTCTTCTGCTGTCTGAAGTTCTAATGTATACAAAATACAAAGTTGAATTTAAAGTGTATAACAAACTCCTGACTGGATAAAACAAACAATGGAAACAGAACAATGTATGCAATTACAAAGAAAGTTTTAAATTAACATGATAAAGTTGATGATTAAGTTTAGCTTGCCCTCACTGAATGTGAATAGCTTCTTTGATTTTAAGTTGGAGAGTTGTGGAAGCGTGATCTAAGGTGCTAAAATATTCATCAGAACATAGAGTGCGACGTTGTCGAGAATTTTGTAAATGTCTGAAAATGTGAGAGTTCTTATCACTGACCAAGTGCTCACGCACACGTGTGGATAAATGCCGAGAGGATTCGCCGACATAGCAGGCATTACAGCCTGTACATAAAAACTTGTAAACTACACACGCACGGGGGATGGGGCCCACGAGGCAAAGGGTCTTTCACACCAAACATATATCCCTTTTTCAAAAGATGAAAAAACCAACTTAGTATGTACGTCATTACAATAACGCTTAGCAAAGTGGCGAACCCTTTTTTACTTGACAACAGAAAAAGGGCCAACGTAAGGTTATTTGAAATGAAAGGTCAGCGTAGTGTATGAAACGGAATCCGTTAAGTTGGTTTTCTCATCTCACCTACTTTCACCTGTGGTTTATTAATTATTCTGCTTCTTAAAACGTAGGTACCTCTCAAACAACCATTAGAGAGGGAAAGGAAACTGGCCACTAAGAAGTGGGCAAGCATTTAAAATCAAAAATCTTTTAATAAAGTTATCGATAATCGCATGGGAGGATGTCGTCAATCTGCGGCGAGTAGATAACATTGTTAAAACTGGCACAAATCTAAGTTGGCAAAAAAATGATTGGTGTAAAGTGCTCAGTCACGACATCTTTTGCGATTCCTCACCTTCAAATAGGGTGCTAATTTTCCATACAGTAGGATCTCCCTCGAATACAAAATTTCTGGAAAACAGTTTCACCGTGTAGGTGGTATCTTTCTCCAAACCACGAAACGAATAAGTTATCGTCCCAGGGTCGGTGATATTATTATTTTCTATCTCAGTTTCACCCTTTTGTAAGATCAGTCGGTATCCTGTAATGGGACTTCCTCCATCATCAGCCGGTGCTTTCCATCGTTTTATTATCAAAGTTGCTTGAATGAGTGATTCTGATGATTTGATGGATACTTTCCCTGGTTTCTCTACATAGTGCCATAAAAAAGGGATCAT